TAACAGTAGGAGGAGGAGGAGGAGCAGCAGCTGCAGCAGCAAAAGTTGCAGTGCGACAGATAGCAGCAGCAGATATTTCCAGCTGCAGCAGCAGCAGCAGAAACAGGAGGAGCAAGAGCAGCAGCAGCAGCAACTGCAGCAGCAGCAGCAGCAGCAGCAGCAGCAGCAGCAGCAGCGAACCTTCTGTGTTGTCTACGTTGGCGGAGGAAGCAAGACAAGCGACATGCTGATAGGCAGCACAGAGGTTTGCCTTAAAGACACGAAAATCATAAGGAGACCCTAAAAAAAAAAAGAAAAAAAAGAGACAAAAAGGAGACAAAAAGGAGACAAAAAGAAAACAAAAGAAATGTTAGAAAGGAGACAGAAAAGGAGACAATAGGGGCAGAGAAAAGAGAGAAAAAAGAGACAAAAAGGAGACATAATGGAGACAGAAACGGGACGAAAAGGAGACACAAAGACAACAAAAAAGAGATTAAAAAGGAGACAAAAAGGAGACAAAAGGAGACAAAAGGGAGACGAAAAGGAGACAAATAAAAAGGAGAAAAAAAGGAGACAAAGGGGAGACAAAAAGGAGACAAAAAGGAGACAACAAGGAGACAAAAAAGAGACAAAAGGAGACAAAATGAGACAAAAAGAAGGCAAAAGGAGACAAAAAGGAGACAAAAAGGAGACAAAAAGGAGACAAAAAAGAGACAAATAAAAAGGAGACAAAAAGGGGACAAATAAAAAGGAGACAAAAAGGAGACAAAAGGACACAAAAAGGAGACAATAGAGGAGACAAAAAGGAGACAAAAGGCGACAAAGGGAGACAAAAGGAGACAAAAGGAGACAAAAGGAGACAAAAGGAGACAATAGAGGAAACAAAAAGGAGACAAAAGGAGACAAAAGGAGACAGTTGATCGTACCCTGGAATCCATGGACGAAGACAATAAGATGAACCCCCCGGCGTTGCTGTGGGGTTGCAGCAGCAGGAGACAGAGAAAAAGGAGACAGAGAGAGAGGAGACAGAGAGAGAGGAGACAGAGAGAGAGAAGGAGACAGAGAGAGAGAAGGAGACAGAGAGAAAGAAGGAGACAGAGAGAGAGAAGAGAGACAAAAAGGAGACAGAAAAAAAAAAGGAGACAGAGGCAAATACACCCCACACCCCACACCCGAGCTACACCAACGCAGAGTACACCAAGCGTCTCCTTTTTTGTCTCCTTTTTTGTTTTTTTTGTTTATTTTGTCTCCTTTTTTGTTTTCTTTGTTTATTTTGTCTCCTTTTTTGTTTTCTTTGTTTAGTTTGTCTCCTTTTTTGTCTCCTTTGTTTGCTTTGTCTCCTTTTTTGTCTCCTTT